CCGATGGCTGAGATCTAGGCGTGCCAGCCATCCTTAATACGCATGGCTGCAATTACAGGATCCTAGCCACTCCGCCCACCCATCACGCGCCATTTTGGCTGCCTTCCAGCCAGTGCAGCCATCCTCCGGCCGATGGCTGCGATGGCTGTGTCCCAGCCATCCGCCCGGCCGCAAGATGGCTGTCATACTAACAGCCGTCGCAGCCATCGGCCGGAGGATGGCTAAGCTTACTAGATCCTGACCAAGCGTTCCAACGCGATGGCTGAGAGACAACGACGCCAGCCATCCAGAACAAGGTGTGGTGGCTCGCGGAGCGAGAGTGGAGCCACCTGGGCTCGTGTCGGGGCGGCGAGAAGGCTGGGTCGAATTCGGTGTCGCGCCACCTCGCCCACCGCTCTCGCATGCCATCTCGACAATCCTCTCTGGGCCCCAGACTCCTAACCACTTCCCTTGCTCGCCCAGGACCACAAAGCGCCACCCGCGCGCCCATTGACCCCCCAATCAACCCACTTGCTGTCCCTCAATCCACAATCGCCACCCGCCAGATGTACTTCCCTTGCCCACCCAATACTCTCACCCTCCTGACCCGGACAGTCCAGGTACAGGAAAAGCGGGGAGCGGGGCCCGATCCAAGGAGCACCCCGTCGGCCCGGGAGGGCTGTGAATTTCGGCGCGAGCGGAAGGCTGCCTGCAGACGCTCAGCCCCCAGCTGAGCTGCCGAATCCTCCCGGCTAATCCCCTGACCTGCCGCCTGAAACGGGACAACATTACACCACCTCACACACACTCCCCCCTCAGGGCTAAGCAGTGCGCAAGTCCACCCGAACTCTAGGCGAGGCGTCGACCACTCCTTCGGAATAGCTCTGTCACAGTGGCTGCACTAGACGCGCCCAGAGATGGCGCGCGGCGCGGGCGGATGACTGGAAAGAGAAAATGCGGAGATGCTAGCTCGCAGGTAGATGTGCTCAGCCAAGGGTAGGGGATGAGGGGAATGTGTCAGTGTGAGGGGTGCACCAACCGCAGAGCGTCGTGTTTTGCCTTTAAGACTTGAGGGGGGGGGGGGGGGAGGGAGCCGCCATGAACACTGCCACCTGCAGGACTCGCCTGCGGGTGGATCCCCATGGGGGAAGGGCTGCCGACCCGCTCGGCCCCCCCAGGAAGATTTCCCCAAGGCGGTCTCCCTCTCCCTCTCCTCCCGCCAAGCACCAACAGTCTCGAGGGGTGGGGAGAAGAGCCAGGCAGAGAAGGGGAGAAGAGCCAGGCGGAGAAGGGGAGAAGAGCCGCTAGGCGGCCTCCCTCTCCCCCTCCGCCACCAGGCCTCCCTCTCCCCCTCACTTCCCAGGCCTCCCTCTCCCCCTCCTCCCACCGTGCACCGAGCACCAATGCACTAAACGCACTATCAAACTATTGGCCTAATAATGTACCTAATTATTAGAGGTACCTCTAATAATTAGGTACATTATTAGGCTAATAGTTTGATAGTGCTGTCTCAAGGGGTCAGCCGCTTGCCGAGGGGGTGGACGTACGCCAGCGGCACGAGGGCTTCAGCCACACAGCTACCAAGGGAACGCGACCCACACAAAGCACCAAAGTTAGGCATACCCCCCGGCGCAGTGTCCCCCGCTATGTGTCGCCGTTCGTCGGGGCACGCAATCCTGTGCAGTCAGGGCAAGTGGGGGCGGGGCGGAGTGCCCAGGAGCGTGCTCCTGGGATTTCTCTTCCCAGTCCGGGGGTGCGTCGAACCTTCCATCACCCTGTCGGAAGCGGCGTGCCGGTGGAGGCACGTCCGGGTTTTGGAAGTAAAGATATATTACTTTTTTTGCCTTTAAGACTTGAACAGTTTTTTTATGGTGATTGGTGTGGAACACACGCACTCTTTCATGCTAAATGGTCACACATGCGTGGTAGGCGACACACAGAGTCCATTACGCACTAGACAGTCGACACCCACACAAACACAGCCTGCGCTCTCTCTATCTGTCAATCAACATGAGCTGCGCGTCGGGGCCGCAGAGCTTTCAAGAGAAGCAGGGCTTCAGCTTGTCCCACTCCGCGTCGACGATCCACGCCATCATGTCGGCGAGCAGGTTGGTCTGCAGCGGCGTGAACTCCATGAGGGTGGGAGGATTTTGCCCCGTCGTCTTGTAGTACGGGAAGTGGCCCTTCGTGTTGGCCTCGCCCTCCCCGAGCACTTTCTTGAGGGTCTCCAGAGGCACCTTGTCCAGCCACTCTTTCGGCGCATGGTTGTAGAGGACGGTGTAGTTGCACGTGTACGGCTCGACCCCATGGAAGGCATTGCGGAGCACCTACCACACACGACAGCCGGGGTGCGTGGGTGGGTGTGCGTGGGGAGAGAACAGGCTCTTCGGTCGGAGAGGAGGTGGAGTCTGGGGCTGGGGTGTGTGGCCGGTATGTAGCCCCGGCGAGCGCCTCCACGCCCTCGAGCCGCGCGAGGAGCGGGGCGCCACGCTCCAGCGCTGCCTCGAACTGGTCGAGCATGTCGTAGTAGCGCTCGATTCCGAAGACCTTGTTGGTCCGGTAGTTGAACCCCGTGCCGTGGTAGTTCCAGGAGCCGTCCGCGGCGATGACCGGGACACCGAACAAGCTCGCCAGGTCCGTCGAGCCTCCGAACGCAGCCGCGTCGTACTCCTCGCGCGTCATCTCGCTCGGCGGCGGCCGCACATTCCCCTTCGAGTCGGTGACGGCCTGATGGGGAGAAAGGGTAAGCGATGGAGCGGGTGGCAGGGTGAGGGCGGCGGTGTGAGTGCGGGGAGCGTTGCTCCTTCTTGGAGAACTTTGAGACGAAGGGGCCCGTGGAGGTGCCCACCACGACCAGCACCTCCTTGCACTTGCGCCGCAGCAGCGCGAGCGACGCCGTGTTTTCGATGTTTCCGCCGTCGCCGAGCTTGAGCGTGTTCCACACGCCAGCCTGCGGGCCAGACAGGGAGAACGAGGACAGGACATCAGGCGGAGGCGAAACAAGGATCGGGAGGGGGGGAGGCAAGCACGTTGGTCTCAAAGCGCGCAGTGGGCATCATCGCCTCGAGGGCCGGGTTCATAACCACGCCCTTGCGCTCCTGCCGCAGCATGCTGGCGAGCTGCATGCTGCCCGCTCCAATGTAGAACTCGAGCGAGTTGGACAAGTTGGTGATGCCGAAGCCGCGGCTCCATTCGGACGGGTGCACCCCTGGCACGTGGGCAATGTCGATAGTCTCGGTGACGCAAGCCACGCCACTCACCTCATTGCTCATCATGGATCGGTGATTAGTGATTCGCTCATTGGTTTAGTATTCGTTATTACCGGTCGCACCTCCGCCGCGGGGCCCGAGTAGCCGGTCGCCACTTCGCTCGGCGACACCACGTACATGACGAGCGCGCAGTTGTCGTGCTCCGCACGCGCCTATAGAGTCCGGGTACCGTGCATGACGGCACGGGGGGCTAAGTGCGTAGCAAGAGTGGAGATGGACACGGGAGGAAAGGGGGAAAAGGCCGCTGCGCACCTCCTCGGGCGTCGGACCGCCCACCGTGGCGACCTCCGTGTCGGCGGCGTTGACGCTGCCGATAAAGTCGTCGACGCGGCGCATCCCAATGCACCCAGGCATGGTGCACCCGGGAATGGGGCCCAGCGTCGAACTCGTCGGGCCGTACATGGTCACGCCGATGAGGGGGGTGGCGGCACAGTAGTCAGCCGGAAAGATGTAGTCGCTCCGGCGGCCTTTGGCGTCCACCTCGGCAGCCGAGGCGGCAAACAGACGCCCCTGCGGCACGCCAAAGGGCGCGAGGTAGACCTGCCAGATGTTGCGAATCCACGAGATCGCCCCAAAGGGCTGCCGCGAGAGGCAGGACGCGAAGCACGACCAAGGAATGGAGAGCAGCATATTTTTGTGCGTCATCGGCTTGGTGGACACCGGCTGCCCCATACTGCGGGGCTCAACCGTGCTGCAGGCCTCGACGGTCAGCTCCGACGGCGACAGCTTGGCGCGGCTCACGTCAAGCAGCTCGTCGCGAGGCACGATCTGGTTGAAGCAATACGCGGCCGTGGCCCAGCCGCCGCCGCTCACGCCCGACATCCACAGCTTGGTCGGAGGATCGTCGAGCACGCCCTTGACGGCGAGACCGCGCAGCACGCCGTAGGCGCACGTGTAGGCACGGTTGCCGCCGCCGCTGAGTGCGATGCCAACTCCTCCCTGCTCTTGGGCACGTGCCGCCGACGCCGCGGCAGCTGCCTGCTCGGCTCGGCGTGTGGCCATGAACTCGGGTGAGGGCTTGCTTAGCTTAGGCGGCGTAGTCATTGCTCCCAAGACCGCGCCCAGATAGGTGCAAGGCAAACTGGTTCTTGCCTTGCAGTGCGTGCAAGGAGGAGAAAACTATCTTCTCATTAGGCGTCGGAGAGTTCCGACCAGCAAACCTACACCATGGGCGTGCGAATGCATCAAGCGTATGCGTAATGCGTGAGGCGTAACCCCCGCCGGCCGCCACTTCTCACTCGAATCCGGAATGCGTGTGCGTAGTACGTGGGGCGTAGCGCGCCTTGAGAGGCACACACCCCGATCGGCCGAGAAGGTGGATGCAGAAGACACATTCGTAATAGCTAATACGCAAGACATTTGTAGCTCCCTCAGGCGCCACTTGGCTCGGGCACGACACCGAAATACGCGACGTCTGGCCGACGCACTATGGATCGCAGGCGTGTATTTACATGACATGGCCGATCTATGCATTCTGGGCGATTACAATATGCGTACCTTCTCTGGGGAAAGTTATTTAGGAGCACCCCGGTTTCGGACATCGGCGAACGATTGGACGGTGCCTCCAACTGAGCCAAATGGAGTCCAGCGATGTGGGACCTCAGTCCCAGAAGCTTGGAGCTTCAGGCCGCGACCACGTGGCTAGGTGGACACTAAAGTGCCATTTTGGCGCCAAATCTTGGCGCGAAATGACACGTGGCTTGGCGGGAGTGTGGTGTGCTGCGCTGCTCGACAGCGCTGCTGTTGAGCGCCAGCTGCTGCTCCCTTCAGCCAGACGGCCGGGCCTGCGCAGCACAACCGCTGGCCTTCCTCCTGCCCCACAGGAGCGCGCCAAGGCGCGCGTCTGGGCAAGCAGTGCGTCTCATCGCGATGCGAGAGTCGACGCTGTGACGCCGCCGCTCGCCGGCTAGAATGACAGTGGCAGCATTCGAGTACGCGTCGAGCTGTGCGTACCAGCACTCGTATGCGAGCTAATTGTGTCCCTGAGCTGCTGTGGGGTGCGTGGGCTCAGCTGCGGAGCACGTACTGGGCGGCGGTAGGGGGGTGCTCCTAAATAACTTTCCCCAGAGAAGGTAGCAGTACAGCTCACCTCTCGCGCAACCGCATCGGATCGCAGACCTGACACGAGACAGCAGAAAGGCAGGAACAATGCTCAATAGACGGTGTATCATCGCACGATCGCAGAGAGCCCTATGTCACGCATCATTGCGAGCTAGTAGATCGCCTCGGCCGCGTCGGCGGGCGCCGGTGTGGCCTCCTCCGGCAGGGCCCCAGGCGCGTTCTCGAGGAAGTAAGTGTACATCTCGCCCTTGCCTTTGTAGTAGCGTGGGCCGCGGCTCGTCGCGCCGAACCGGCCGCGCAGATACCGGTACGCCTCCTGCGACACGTGGACACGACCTGGCTCCGAGCCAGAGCACCTGTGCGGGGCATGAGATGGGCGTGAGTGTCGTGGGACGCGTCACGGACACGTCCCGGGGAGGCGGAGGGGCGGGTCGGGTCACATGCGGGCGGCGGTGTTGACGGCGTCGCCGCACAAGTCGTACCTGTTCACATATAGAGGCAGCTGTGGAGAGAAGCTGTTCGCAGCTAGACCTGGCGTCGTCGGAGAGATCAGTACTGGTAGGTCTTGTGCCTATTCACAGCTACAGGCTGAAACGACGCTGTTCACACCGCAGACGCCGCATGTGCCCGATCGCATGTGCCCGATCACGCCCGCGATGGCGGAACCAAAGTCGATGCCCACCTGCAGACGTCAGAGGGAGCGGTCTTCCCACGAATCACAACGAGCACGGGATGTGGGGGAAGCCACCAACGCGATCTCAAGTATTTATCCCGCTTTGGGGTTCCTGGAGCTGGCTGCTGCTGGCTGCTGCTGGCTGCTGCTGGATGGCTGAGGCTGGCTGCTGCGTCTACCAGGGACGAAGGATGGGCCATGTACGGGAATCTTGGGTGCTCTCGGGTGCTCTCGGGTGCTCTCGGGTGCTCTCGGGCCACCTGCACGGTGAGCTGCGGCGCCCTCGGCGCCTCAGCACGCAGCTCGAGGTTGACGACGGACATGACGTTGATTATCGCGAAGCCGAAGCCGGCCTGAGCTCCCGCACGGCGCAAGCAGCTGAGCCTGTCGCCCCCGGAGACTGTGTGTCTAGGCGGTGTCGGTGCGGCGCCGCCGTGGAAGGGGCCCGACCGTTGTCATTCAGGTTTTGCTTACTACTACTACGCGCGCCGCCGCCGCCGCGCGGTCGTGCGGGTCCGGGAGGCGGGTTGGGTCGGGCAGGCCGGCAGCGACCAAATACTGCTCGTTGGCCGTCTTGCGCACCTGTGCGTGCACGATGAAGTGTGATGACTCCGCTCCAGCGGCACCGGACCGCTCACGCAAGCTTTCGTGGTCTTGATTTCATTTTCGTACGCCGGACCCCCCCCCCCCCCTCCGTGGGTGAGTGCGCGCCTTTTGCAGCTGGAAGACGTCTGCGAGGCGGTCGAACCTGCTCACAGCCAGAGGTCTGAAGAGACGCTGTTCACAGCTCGAGGTGTGAAGACGTCTGCGAGGCGGTCGAACCTGCTCACAGCCAGAGGTCTGAAGAGACGCTGTTCACACGGCCGCCCGCACCTCTGCCACCGACGCCATCCCCTCCCTCCCCTCCACCTCCCTCCCCTCCTCCTCCTCCTCCGCCGCCGCCGCCTCCTCGGCCTCCGCAACCCTGCCGACCCTACCGACATCCACGCTGGCGCTGCGGTAGCGCGGGGGCTCGCCGCCTGGCGGTACCACCGCACGCACACCCGACAGCGCGGCGAACGCCCCGCCAAACTTACCGCGCTGCGCCTCCCGTTGCGCGGCCACGGCTTGCCTCGCCTTTCCGAGTGGTGAGTCAGGCGCGGCGCGGTCTGAACTGCCGCGAGGGTCGCCCGTTGCAAGCGAAGTCGCGCCCAGCTGCCGCGACACAAAGGCGCCCAAGGGTGTGCGGCACGGCGCAGCGGCAAGCTGGGAAGGCAGCGGCGTCAGCGCCGTCCGCAGCAGCCCGCGTCCGAGTCCGGCGGAGGCGAGGTAGTTGCGGTGGGAGGCGCGCTCGCGGCTGGTGGAGCGGCGGGGCGACGAGCGGGACGACGAGCCCTGCGTATCGCGGCCATACGCGGCGGAAGAGCGCACAGGAGCCGCGGGCAGCAGCGCTTCGGCGAAATAGGTCGAACGAACGCCGTGCTTGCTCGCTGCCAACAGGTCGGGCTGCTTGGTGAACTTGACGGACCCGCCACGCTCAGCGTCCACCAACGCGGCGGTGGCGCCTGAGACGTGGACCTTCCCGGCGGCGCCTATTGATCATGAGCCATTCATGACTCATTATGAACTCAGAGGAGGACACGTAGACCTTCGCCGCGGCGCCCTGCTCCTCGAGACTCGCCGCACCGGCGATCGCCGCGCCCCACAAGTCGAAGTGGAAGCGGACGGTGCCGATGATGCCGCCGATGGCGGGGCCCGTGTGCACGCCGACGCGTATGGCGATGTCGACGCCGTGCTCGCGCTTGCACAGCACACACCTGGCGGTCCACTATAACGTCGCAGGCACCTGCGCAAGAGGGGCGAGGGGGTTGGTCAGATGGTGTGATGGCCATCAGCAATGGGCTCCCACACACTGTACTCGGGTTAGCTGCAGGGCGCAGGTGGGCTGTGCGCCCGAATGAGCTGTGGGATGCAGGTCCCGTCGGGCGCGCGCGCGCGCAGAAGAGGGGCAGGCTGGGAGAGTTCGCGCCTTGAATCGCGTGCGCAGCTCGTACTCGCCTCGGTACGAGAGAGTCCAGCTCCGTGTCCGTCCTTGAGGCGTGGCGGAGGCGGCTATCCGAGCCCTGCAGGTGCATCAACACCCCAGGGAGGGAGCACGCGCCCAGGACGGTGGCACACCCCATACGCACGCCTCGCGGCCACGGCGCCCGCCGCAACCGACGCCGCTCCGCATCTGACCCGAGCGCAATACGCGCATTTCTTCTTTTTCCCGCGCCAGCGAAGCCCCATGAAGCACAGCATGCGCCGCGGCAGCAAGCGGTCCCTGCAGGCCTACCAGTCCGGCTCCGGCGCCGGCGGCGGCTGCTCCAGCGCAGACGGCAAGAGCCCGCCCAGCTCCGGCGACGAGAACGCGTCCAACGGCGTTGACCTTCTCTCCGGGCAGCACGACGACGACAAGTGGGCCGACTCGCTCGCCTCCCCGCCCCGCCCCGTGCCGGCCGCGGCGAAGCCGGCCTTCAAGCTGCGCCTTATGAGCGAGGATCCAGAGACGGCCGCCGAAGCCGCGGCGCGGGCGGCCGAGGCTCAGCAGCGCGCAGGCGCGCGCGCAGACGCGCAGGCCTGGGAGCAAGCGAAGCATCAGGTGCTGCTTCTGCAGCAGTCCAAGGCGGCCGCCGAGGGCGCGGGCGGCGACGCGTCGGCGGACGCCGGCCGGGTCTCGGCTCGACTCAGCAACGGGAAGGCCGCGGCGGCCATCAAGGAGTCCATCGACGACGGCAACCGCGGCGACTGCGGTCAGGTGTGCGCGGGCCGACGGCAGGGGCAGCAGAACCGCGACGGCTCGATATACGTGACCGGGGTGTGCAAGGCGCGTGCGCAAGGCGTGCTCGGCACGATGCCCACCGCTGAAGCGGAGGAGGCGCTGCTGACGACGCTCGGCGCTGAGGTCGACATGTGCCTGGAGCTCCCCGCCCTGCAGGACGCTGTCGTCGCGGCGCACTCGGCGCACCGAGCCGGCACAACCACCATCGCCGGCGGCGGAGGGCAGATCCGTGTGGTCGGCCGGGCGGTCAGCGCGCTGCGGGAAGTGGAGCGCTTCGATGCCGCCGCCCAGAGGGGCGAGGTGCCGGCACAAGTCCTGCAGCTTGCCGCCGCAAACAAGGCGGCGGCAGAGCGGCAGAGGACGCGAGCAGAGCTGTGGGAGGAGGTTGGCGGCGCAGCGACTTTGATGGCGGCGGCGATGGAGGAGGAGGAGGAGGAGGAGCCCGCCGGCATGGAGGAGGAGGAGGGCGACGAGGAGCCCCTCGCCGACCCCGACCAACTGGCGGCGGCGGCGGCGGCGGTGGAGGCCGAGGAGGCCGAGGGCAGCGAGGCCGCGGCGGAGGTGGGCGCCGCCAGCCACCCGCGGGCGCCGACCCGCACCCGCTTTGCGCTCGCGCTGCTGGGGCGGCTCTGGCGCGACGCTGGCCTCATCGGCCCCGCGGCCGAGGTGCGCGAGCGTTTCGGCACGACTCCCTTTTGGCTGCTCCGGCACGTCGGCATGCGGCTCGCGATCCAGCGGCGGCGGCTGGCGGCGGAGGCGGTGGCAGGGCTGGACTGCTCCTACCTCCTGCGGCTCGGCATGCAGGACGTGCTCATCGGCTACAACGACAAGCTCGACATCGCGACCGGCATCCACCCCGCGGGTTCTCTCTAGGAACCTCGCGCGGAATCCGCTGCACCTCTCCGCCACTTTTCTGTAGGCCGCGTGATGGGGCGCATCGGCATCATCAACTGCTACCAGTTCGTCTCCTCGCTGCCGCGGGTGCGGCGGGGCGCGCTGTCCGTCAAGCCGCGGCGCAAGCTCTTCGAGGAGTACCTTCGCCTCAAGGAG